CTGCCTCTGCTTTTTTTAGTGACCCTGCGCAGCCCGTGTAAATATGTGTTTGCCCCCTGCCTCTCTAATAAACTCTCTCTGCTCAGCCTCGACCAGGTCAGTGTCATGGCTAGCCTCACTCCAGCACAGGTCATGGCTCCCAAGTGCTACCTCTGTTCAGGTGCCAAGCATGTTTTAGGCACTGGGTGCACTGGGCAAGCCAAGACAGGTGCTGTGCTGTCAAGGAGGCCATAGCCTAGGTGGATGGCAGATAGAAATCACAAGGAGCAGTTCTGTTCATAGGGAGGCGCCGTCTGGGGTGCTGTAAGGTGATGACATGCCAAGGGGTCTGACCTGGGTGGAGTTAGAGAAGGTGTCAGCTGAGAACCAAGGGATGAGGATGGAAGAGCTGTACCGGGTGGAGAACTGTGTGTGCACAGGTAAGGAGAAAGTGAACACAGGGCGCCATCTGGCCACCAGCATGAGCGAAGGCAGCCCCTAGCCGCCTCAGGAGGGTTTGCCCCGCAGTACATGACTCGGGGAGGAGAGCTCCGGGACCACATGGGCAGTATCTACCTCCTGGCGCTCTCTGCGTTGTCCCTGTAGAGTTTCTCCCTCTCTCCTCCGCGACCCCTTTTTCTTTCCCTCTCTTCCCACCAGGGGGCGCGCTTAGTGTTGTATGCGCGCGTGGGGAGGAGGAGGGAGGAGAAGGGAGGAGGAGGGAGGAGGAGGAAGAAATGGAGAGAATGAGAGGGAGGGGAAAAGATTTTAGAAAAGAACACTCTCCTAGGACCTCACCCTCCACCATGCTGTCTCCGAAGCCGAGAGTAAACTCCAACCCTCCTCGGAGGCCTAGTGTTTGCAGCGTGTGCGGCCACCTGGAGCCTTTGACAGCTCGATTGTACACGTGGCTACAGACTCGCACTCTAAAAACATATAAATGGTGTCAGAGCTGGTAAACTGCGGCTGTTCACACCGGAAGACCCGTCCTGGACTCCAGGTCACATGCATCTTCTCGTTAGCTTGCTAGGGACAGGAAGCTATCTGCCTCGTTTATTTAGTCCCGGTTTTTTCAGTGAGCCCAGAGTAATGCACATTTATGCTGTTTTCAATTTTGTACTATCGCAAACTACAAAATCAGTTCACATTCTCACCATCAGCAAACGACAGTACCCATTTCCTCACGCTCTTGCCAACACAAGGCATTATCATTTTTTCCCATTTTTGCCAATCTGATAAGTAAAAGGCGATATGTAGTTGCTTTAAGTTGCATTTCTCTGATTACCAGTGGCGAGCATTCACTCAACAAATATTTATTGTTTGTTAGTGGGAGCTGAGTGAACAGAGGGGAACAGAATGGTCTCCCTCCAGGAATCCTTCTTGTGTGAATTGCTCTAAACCCTTTATTCATTTTTCCGAGGCTTATGTAACTTCTTAATGATAGGAACTTCTCATACTTTTGTAAGAATCTTTGTTACTGGCTTCTATCCCACTGATCTATTTTCCAATTCCTGTGACAGTATCACATTGGTTTAATTACTACTATTTTGGAGTTTAATATGCCAGTTTCTCCTCGTTCTTCATTTACAAACCTGTCAGGGATATTCCTGAACATTTCCAATTATCAGAGGTTTAGATTCAGTACGCCAAGCTCTGGAAGCAAATAAGCAAACAGATCTCTTTGAAGCGTGACTGGGCCCTGAACCTAGAGAGTCATTTGGTGAGAACTAGCATAGACCCCTTTCCTCCCTGGAAATACTGTGATCCGTGCTTACTGTGACCTTTATTCAGGCGCCAGTACGTGTTCTCGTACTTTAATTTCCGTTTTCTTCTCCTAGATCTTGCGTTTCTGCTTTAATTCGTTGCTAGGATCCCCTCCATATAGTTCCTCCTGCCGTCTCCTCCCCTCCCCGAGGGAGCACAGGCTAAGATAGTGGGCAGGTGTCCCTGAGAAGTGAGGTGAGGAGAAGGGGCTGGAGTCCTGCGCCCTAGGCCTGCGGGTGACCCTGGCTCCGCCCCGCCCTTGTCCTGCTCCGCGATAGGTCAGACAGTGAGCATCAAGGCCCCACCTGGAGCGGACAGGAGGCCCCACCCCAGCGTCGCGCGCGCGCACGAGCACACCCACACGCACCCCGCGGCCACATCTGAGTTGGGTGGGGCGGGGCGAGTCAGCCCTTCCCTCTCCATTCCGAGGTCCCTGCTGACAAGGTCCCAGCCCCACCCGGTCATAGGCGGGAGCGGCGGGGATGACGGGCAGCCATAGGAGCCTTTAGGCGCTGGAATGGGGTGGAAAAACACTGGAGCCAGGGACACAGTCCTCCATCCGGCTCCTAGACTCAAACCGCAGAGACTGCGCTCCCCACTCCCAACCGCCAGTGCTCTCCTTAATCCCAGACTGACACGCAATCACCCCCTCCTCCGCAGAGACTGCCACCCAGATTGAGAGGTCCTTGAGCAGCCTTGGCACCATCAGCATCCCCAAGACAAACAGCTCCACCCTAACAGGACTGCAACAACCATAGTAGCCCTTGCCTGGTGAGGGGTGAGGGAGACAAGAGTGGAGCCCCCAGCTGCCAGGCTGGTTTGTCCTCTTCGTGCTTCAAGGCTCAGCCTCTGGCCAGTCCCCAAACAACCTATCTGCCCAGAGGCCATGACTGAGCCCAAATGTGGTGGACATGAAAATCTTGGGATAGGGTCTCTGTGGGACAATGTCTCTGTGACCCAGGGTCCCAGTCCTGAGACGGGGCAGCTGAATCTCCAGGAGGAGACACAGATCCAGGATCCTCAACTCAGAGTGACCCAGCCTACCTGGCCCAGACCTAATTCTCATTATTGTCCTCAAATCTGCCCCTCTCTCAGGTCCTCACCTCTGGGGCCTTCTAACCAGAGACTTGAGCGTCTTCCTCACCCCAACTATCTCATCCTATCTATCACTCTGTCTGAGGTTCTGCCTCCTGAGCATTTCTGGGGCCCATTTCAGGGCAACTGGAGGATTCTCTCACTCTCTTGCTTCATGGACCCCTCCAAGGCCAGCCACTGAGTGGTGGAGGAGGCCTGGGGGACTAACCCCCCCCCCGCCCCACACACACATATCCTGGGCCTCCCCACCTCCCACCACCTTTCTCACCTCACACACCTGGTTTCAGCTGGCACATTGTCTAAATTCTCAAGGGGAGGTAAGGCCAGGAGGTAACTGTCTCCCTCCAGCATCCTCAACCTCACCTAACTCATTCAACTAATTATTTCCTAAGAATCTGCTATGTTCCTGGCATTGTGCTACCTACTAGGAAAACATTTTGAACAAACGTAAGTAAATATTATAAGCAGTGCCAGAAAGGAAGTAAATAGACTATCACAGTGGAGAATAAGTGATCCCTTCATACGAAGAATTTAGAAGGACTTCACAGATAAGGTGACATTTGAGCAGAGCCCTGAGGTGGTGAGGGAGCCTCTGTGTGGGTATCTGGGGAAATTGTAGTCCAAGCAGAGGGAGCAGGAAATACAAAGGCCCTAGATGGGGCAGGGGGAAGGAGGTGTGTGCTTGTATGTCCTAAGAACAGTGAAGAAATGGCTGGACTGCTGTAAGTGAGGTGGCTAGGAGTAGTAGATGACGTGAGGACAGGAAGACTGACCATGTTGACCTTATATGCCACAGGCAGGACTTTGGCTTTTACTCAGAGATGAGAAGCCAGAAGAGTAGCATGATTTGGACTTCATTGTTTTAACCAGGATCACTTGGGCTGCTGTATGATGAATGGACTGTAAGGGGCAAAGGTGGAAGCAAGGAGACCAGTTAGCAGGCATGACTGCATTCACCCCTAACTAATCCCTAACTGGCCCACTTCCCTCAGCCTCCAGAGCTCCAGCCCCAGCCCAGGCACCCACATTCTCCTCCTTGGGTGCCTTAATAGCCTCCTGCCTGGCCTTCCTATCTCCTGTCTGGCCCCTCAATTCTTTCTTCACACAACAGAAAAAGGAGGTTTTTTTTTTTTTTTAAATGCAATTCTGATAATATCACTCCTATCTATTAAAACTCCTGGTTCCCCATTGCTCTCAGGGCAAAGTCTGAACTCCCAGTCCCTGCCCACAGGCCCCACGAGGGACAGCTCCTGCTGATCTCTGCCCACAGCCCTGCCTCACAGCCCTGCCTCACATCCCCGCAATTCCAGTCTTGCGAACCTGTAAGTTCAGCTTTATTAAGCTCTCTTCCAGACTCTTGCAGCCTTCCTTGATCCTCCAAGGAGCTTGAAACAAAAACGGAGTCCTTCCTTTTAGTTCTCTGTGTGACATTTTGATACCCCTACCTTTCTCCTTGAAGACGAAAGAAAGGGGTGAGGGCAAGAGAAACCCAGAGGCTACTTCATACCAGTCCTCCTCCCTTCCTGGCCAAAGACCCGGCCCCTCTAGGGGGCACAGAGCCTGGCCCTGGGCTCACGGCCTTTATGAACAGCTGAGTTGGGAGGAGGTGTGACTTGTACTGTGATGCCTAGATGCTCCACCTGGGGAGCGCCCTGCCTGTTCTCCCACCTCTGAGTCTCCCTGCCCAGCTTACCTGCACTCCAGCTCTATCCTGGACAGCTCATTCTTGCCCTAGGTAACAGCTTCTTATCTTTGGGCCCCAGATTCTTCACGATGGTGGGTAATTTTCTGGTTTATCATTTTCCCACACAATATTCAATAATAATGCAATATTCCTCAGCACCCCGAGTGGAGATGGGATTCTAAAAAGGACTGAAGGTAGTAAAAGGGTCTTTCTAAGAAGCAAGGACTGTGCTCCTGTGCCCCCACTACCATAAGTAGGGAACTCTATTTGGATCCCCTTAGAAATCAAATTTCATCTTTGTTCCTGTCTGACTGTGGCTGAAGGCAGACACTCAAAATCCCAGGAGAGGCTGCCAGAGGCCTTACTTGTTCCTGGAATTGGCCTCAGCCATGTGGTCTCAGAAACA